AAAAAAAAAAAAAAAAAAATTGATTTTTATAAAATTTGGGTCGGCGGGTTATGCAAAACGAAAACTTAACTTTGCATGGCCTAATAGACTTGTTTGTTTTATTCTTACTTTTATTTCGGAAAGAAAATTTTTCTTAAGTTCCGTCTTGAATTTAATGCACCAATTTGGGCCCCTTCTTGGCCAAAGCTGATGCATTAGATTTAAATGTTCCGTCTCGAATATGATGCACCAATTTGGGCCCCTTCGGGGGCAAAGCTGATGCATTAGATTCAAATCTGGTGCATTAAATTTAAATATGTTACTTGTCATGTGAAACGATCTTACTGTAATCCGTACAGCCGTAGGATTACAGCACAGTATGATCTTCATCACCTGCCAAATAAAATAGTTACAGGGATGTTACACATCCATATATTCTGATCCGAATCTAAATAAATGAAATGTGGCGAAGCATGAAATTGATCTCCGCTGTGGCGATAGAATGACAAATCACGCAAATTTTTGTTGATCAGAGGGCTGAGAGGGCTGAGTTCACAATTCTTTCGTTGTTTTCGCCATGTTCTTTGACGATCATCGATTATCAATTAATCAGACCGTCAAAAAATCCAGAGAAAAAAAAAAAAAAAGAAAAAAGCGCGTAATGCCAAAGAAACAAAAAACAAAAGTATAAAAAATACAGGAAAATACATTTTGCATTAACTTAAAATAGTACACACACGAAATGTCTCGATGACAGCTTACATGCTCTTAAACCGTATCAGCATCTGAATCATATCAGAAACGAATCGTATTAGAAACATTGAAGTATCTAAATAACTATAAAAATGGCAAACGAAAATTTCCTTTTACAGAATTAGAAGGAAATAATGCACGTCGATCCCACGTACAAACTATTATACAGCATCACACAAACACAAGCACAACAGGCAAAAAAAGTTACACGACACAACCAAATAAGGAAAAACCATCCACCAAAAACATACGTAGATCTTTAAAAACATAAAATTTCCTAAACTTTGAAATTTTTGACCACCAATAAAATAATAACAAATTTTAACTTAAATAACTACTATCCCACCAGTGAGGGTGTTTCACTATCTACTATGTATATCAAAAATATATGGGATCATCAATAAAATTATTAATAAATGATTTTTTTTAGTTTTGATAATTGAGATAATGATCAAAATCGTTTATCACTTTTATATAAGTTTTACGTAGTTACAAGTGATATGTATATTTTTAGATATAAGGACAAAATTATGTAACGTTTTTTAATTAATTTGGAATAAATCATTCTTAAACATACACATAACAAAATCACATTAAAAAATTTTAAGTTATTAAATTTTTTATCTGTAACGAAAATCTCCCTCTTCTTAACAGTCATAAAGAATCAATTTGAAATTTAAATGTTAACGTAAAAAAGTTTCAACGTAATATTGTTATAGACATATCTGAGAATAGATTTATATTAAATTAATCGAAAAAGGTAAAGCAATCCGCTCTAGACATCTAAAACTATGCAAACATTCTTTACTATACGTTAAAATATATATAAAGAATCTGATCACTATCATAATCACTAGCTTGATTACAGTAGGTTGAAAAAATCTTAATAGTTAATTTTTATATGGTAGTTTTGATTTACATAGCTGACATCACCCCTAAATGTTTCATTATAATAAATTTCGGATACGTATCACTTCACCGACGCTAGTTTCGTAGACATAACATTTCACCGACAATTATTTCGTAGACAAGTTTATTTCACCGAACCTTAACTCTAATTCTAATCTGACCCTAACGACAATGACCAGGGTTATTTTGTCGGTGAAATGGAAAATAAATGTCGATGAAATAATGTCGATGAATTGTTGCCGGTGAAATGTTATTTCTACGAAACGAGCGTCGGTGAAGTGAGCTGAACCGTAAATTTCCATGCCTAATAAGATATGTCAAAGTGTATATCACAGAACGATATACGAAAATTGACCATTCACAATGAAAGTCCGCTATGCTAATGCACGTATGTACGTACATACAATCGAACTAAATCTTGCTACACAAAAAGTTAAGCAAAAATATGATAGCGACTGGCGTGAAAAGCAAAATCTGCATTCACAACTTTATTGTGTTCAATTAATCATACAATGGGCGATAAGATTATGTGAAATAATATCATTAAATTGCTATATAACCATATACTTCGTGTCACTCCGTTCCTGGTATTCAAAGTTAAACATTTATAAAAAAAAAAAAAACTATAATTACAAATTTGTAAAATTGAAATAAAAAGGGCTTTTATCAAATTTGGATGGATAATTATTAAAAAACCATCGTTTAACATAACTTAGCATCCCCAGCCGGATCCTTATAAAACTTAAATATAATAATCTAACATAGACATCATCGCCTCAATAAAATATTTATAAATTAGATTTAATATATATTCATTTTTCCTCTCTTGACGACGAATCGCTAATTGCATCATTTCTAGAATTTTTCATTATGCCTAAGAATCTTTTATCCGTATTAATTTAGGTGCGCATTTAAAGCTGGAGCTACGATCACAGTTTATAATTTCATAATTACGTAGTACTTTTAATTATTAGCTTAATAATAAAATATATATATATTTATTTATTTTGAAGATTTAAACTTTTCAGAGAGACACCCATTTGTGCTATGTTAGTTTATGTATTAATTGTGTTTTACTCATCATATATTGCTATTCATGATTTTCGAACGAGAAAGCATGTTTAAAAACTGAGCCATCAAGAACTCCTCTTACACAATTCACAGTCGTTACGTTTTTTGGAACTGTCAACGTAAATGTATGTTTGAAATCAGAGTAAACTCCTCTCTAAAAAATTTATTTAATAATTCAATTCAGAAATCGATCATAAAGAAGGAAATATAACCAATTAATGAATATTAACGAATCAATCATTTTACCCCATCGGTTGCGTCAACTGTTTCGTTCTAAATAAAGTTTTAATGAGCATCATCATCATCAAAATATATAATACGGGGTAAGTTTCCCTCTCTTACGTACCGTCAGGAGAAATTCCATGGCCATGCCATTTAATTTCAGCATGATATACATTTTTATTATGTTCATCTTGGGTAACAATGATAGGTAACGGTAAAATTTCTTGAAGTGCTATTGGTTTGGGTACATGAGGTTTTTGTGCATAAACAGCAACAGCAATGAAAATAAAAGAAAATATAGTGATCAAGGTAGGCTTCATATTTATTTTTAAAAATGAATTCACAATAAGTGCAAATGTAGTTATTAGTGTAGGTATTAGAAGAATTATTATGTAGTTATTAATGTAGGTATTAGAGGAATTGTAATTATCGCAAAAAAAATTATAATTATTGCAAAAAAAAATAAAGTCTTTATATAATATTTTTAAAATGCTACTTACAGTATTTAAGTTTATTTAAAAGAATTTTAAAATAATTATTCTTGATTAAACTATGCAAACGATTCCACGGGCGATCTCGCCAGAAGATAGCCAGAACTACTGTTGTGATGTGTCCATACGCTAGTGTTCCGAAATGACCGGATC